CAGGTCATGATCTCAAGGTTGGGAAGTTCGAGCCCCTTGATGGGTTCTCCACTGACAGCACAGAGCCTGCTTGAGATTCTCTCTCTCCCTCTCCCTGTCCCTCCTCCCCCCTCAAAAATAAACTGACTTAAAAAAAATTTCCTGTGACACAGAATAATGAAGCAGCAGCAAAATGATTCCCACCAGTCTGAAGGGAACTTGGAAGGAGCAGAGATAGGAGCTTCTCCACCTGAATGGGTCATGTGGACAAGAATGGCTCTGGGCCAATGACTAAAGACCAGGTGAGACAAGTAGTTATCTCAGTTGATGATGGTTAAGAAACCATCATCTTGATGACAAGAACCTGATTCCGAACGCCCTCCTCACCCTTGGCATTGTATAAAACCACTGAAACTTAGAACCAATCCTGGAGAACGGGATACCACCCACTGGTATTCTCCCAGACCTATCTCTGTTCACCTCCAGGGCTCTTGCATTCTCGGGAAACTCAAAAGCCTTGAATGACTAAGGCTCAATTTCTAATCCCGGTGCATAGAGGTTCAAAATAGAAATTAAGAGTGAGGGGCGCCTGGGTGGCTCAGTCGGCTAAGCGTTCGACTTTGGCTCAGGTCATAATCTCATGGTTTGTAGGTTCCAGCCCCGCGTCGGGCTCTGTGCTGACAGCTCAGAGCCTGGGCCTGTTTCAGATTCTGTGTCTCCCTCTCTGTCTCCACCCCTCCCCCACTCGTGCTCTGTCTCTGTCTCAAAAATAAGTAAACTATGAAAATTTTTTTACAAAATAAATTAAGAGTGAGGTCACCAAGATGGCAACATACAGCTTTGTGATTTCACCGTCCCTCACTGGAACTATTCCTGAACAGGACACCACTGGGAGAATCTTGGAACACCGACTGAGGCTGAGACAGCTCACTTGCCCCCCCGCCCTGCACCAGAGAGACAAGACAAACCGCCTTAGATGGGTAAGAGAACTACCCACGGAGCGCATCGCCCCTAACCCAGACCAGCACAGCACCACACCGAGAGGCATCCCTGGAGCCTCAGGCTCCTTCCCTGGGAAGAGGGCCCAGGCGAAAAGCAGTGCCCCAGCACTGAGGGTAGCTTCGCGGGAGCCCCTATTCTGGTCTCGCCCCGTAGGGATTGCAGGGGAATCTGAGGGGTGCTGAGAAGCGGAGGTGGGGGGACTCGCAACAACGCGCACGCGGACCGGCGGGCTGAGGTCCTCACTGCAGTGCCCAGGCTGTAGCCCCAAGCGGGTGTGTTGCTCACCTGCAGAACCACTCGACTTGACAGAGTGCACGACTGCCGGACCCTCGTCCTCAAACAAGGAGTTCTGCCCGCCTTGGAGCCGCGTCCGCCCAGGCCCCGGGCAGGGAGCTGAGGCAGAGCCCCACCAGCGTCGGGTAGACAGTCGCGCGCCACACCTGAGGGCCTGGCGGGAACTACTTGAAGCCTGCGCCTGCGCACCTGAGCTCAGCGGTGAGTGGGCGGGGCTGCTTGCCCGCGGGGCGGAGATGGTGCCTCAGGTGTCAACAATATTGCTATTTAAATCTATGGTAACATTTTTTATGGCCTTTGGCCTGTAACGTTTAGATTTTCAACTGGTTTTTTTTTACTTTTCTTTAGAGATCATTTCTGCATCTAGTAGAGGACTATCTCTGCAGCACTCCGTAACAGTGGCAATCTAAACCATTTTCACTCTCACTACCTTCTTTACCCTGATTTCCCGTCCTGTCCCAATCTTATTTTATTATAAATAAAAATGTACCATATGTTCAAATAAATATTAAAGTATAAAATGATATTATGCTTTAGTAACACTTCTATTTTACCCAGGAAGGGTAAAACACTTTTAAAGGTTTCAATAACCTTATGACTATACCCACAATAGTAATTTGCTGTTGCTGGGTTCAACTATCCCATTTTGCTTATTAAGCAAGAAAGTAAACATTCTAACTGTACCACATTTATGGAACTGGATGAAAAATACGTTATCTTTATTTTTTCAAAAAAAAACATTGTGAGGGCTCCTGGGTGGCTCAGTCGGTTAAGTGTCTGACTTCGGCTCAGGTCATGATCTCACAGTTCGTGAGTTCGAGCCCCACATCAGGCTCTGTGCTGACAGCTAGCTCAGAGCCTGTTTCAGAGTCTGTGTCTCCCTCTCTCTCTGACTCTCCCCTGCTCATGCTGTCTCTCTCTCATAGAAATAAATAAAACATTAAAAAAAGAAAAAGAAAAGAACAACCAAAGCATCAATACTAAGAATATTTTAATGATTCTTTATTGTATTTATTTGTAAAACAAGACAACAAAGGAAAGATAAACTTATTTATCAAGCACAAGTCTTATGAAGTGGCATTTAAAATCTTTAACACTGGACTAATACAATAATAGAGTGACCCTGAGATAGTTTGAAGACAGAAAAGGTCTCAGTTAGTTTAAAATAAAATATGCAGCACCTTTATGAAATTTATTTTTGCTCAATCAGTGTGACTGTAAGGAAGTTGTGTGTAAAAATATAAAAATAAAAATAAGCTGTGCGTGTATTATGATTCAAACTACGGAAATAATTTTAAACACTTGCTTTTAAAAAATGGGTATTATAGGGGCGCCTGGGTGGCTCAGTCGGTTGAGCGTCCGACTTCGGCTCAGGTCACGATCTCACGGTTCGTGGGCTCGAGCCCCACATCGGGCTCTGTGCTGACAACTCAGAGCCTGGAGCCTGCTTCGGATTCCGTGTCTCCCTCTCTCTCTGACCCTCCCCTGCTCATGCTGTCTCTCTCTCTCTCTCTCAGAAATAAAAATTTTTTTTAAAAAAATGGGTATTATAAACTGTGCTAGCCAATACAGCAGCCACTATCCACATGTGGCTATTTTAATTTAATTTTCAGTTAGCTAAAATGAGTAAAGTTTTAACATTCAGTTCCTCTGTTTAATTAGCCACATCTTAAGTGTTTAAGAGCCACATGTGGCTAGTGACATTACCATTATGTTGGTAATCGTGTTGGACAGGACAGTAACTTATATTAGCAGTCACCATAATAAAGTTAACTATGTAAATCTTGAAAAACTTTTGTGAATATAAAGTTTTCTTGTAATTTTGCTTCTAATCCAGGGAATATTTAAGATAACACAAAATAAAAATCAAATTTGAAAGCTGCATATAAAAGATATAAAATTATTTTAGATTAATTCATCTGAATAATTCTGTCAAAACTTTTGCCCTCTATGGAAGATTTTTTTGGCTTGAATTATTTACTTTTTAAGATCACTGTAGCATAGCCTAAACATATAAAGATATGCATAGAAATACTATAGTTTTATTAACCTAAAGGCAACTGATGGCAAATTATAGATTTGGAGAACAGAATTATAAAAATTATATCTTACACCTTATTTTTCTAAAACTATACTATATTTCACTAAAATACTCTAAGAGTTGAATTTTTAAAAGATAAGTCATTAGAAAAATAGATCTATTCTATAAATTAACCATATAAAACATTCCTAAACTACTTCACAAATCATAAAAATAACAAGAGTTGTCAACTTTCACACAAATTACACTGACTGACCTATTTATCTCTATTGAACTTCTTTGCCTTATCAAAAAAACTGATCTAAGATCAGAAAACTTATCTGGAAAAACTCATCGGTCATAAGCAAATGACCACAGCTAAAGACTGAACTCCCACAAGGAAAAAATTTGTTTTTTAACAATAACTAAAAATGCTATAAAATGAATGTAACTGAGGATCATTTGATAGGTTGAAAGCTAAAAGATGGCATTATAACTAACAAAACATTTCTCTTTTTTTGACAAAATGTTTCCTAAACACAAATGATCAAACAGTGAAATTATACAGTATTTCTATGGCTCACACATTCAAGAACTTTAAAATGCTTAAGCTAAAAATAAAATCCTACTCATGAGCAAAACGGAATTTTTTTCATTCTCCGATATTTTTGCCAATATCCTTTAAGATCACTTTTTTTCTAATTGAATCTCTGATCAATTTTTTTTCCATTTAAACACTGTAAGATTTAAATTTGTATGTACTTCAACAGTAAAATCAATCAGAAAAACACAGTACATTTATAAACCTTCACCCAGACATTTCAGAAACAACAACAACAAAAATGTTAGTGTCTTACTCTGGTCAGATTCTTTTTATTCACAGCTATATATTCTTAAATTTAAATTATTTCAATGGAACCAAAAGTCTCCTGATATGCTTTTCTATGTTGACTCTTAGAAAACTGCTGTGATAAAATATTATCTGGAGGTAATTAAAAGAATGCTGTTCTTACCAGGAGTAATTTAAAAAAATAGGTCTCATGTCTGGAAAGCTTGGGTCAAACAATAGGATGTCAGTCCTATGAATCCCCTATTGATATAAGTATAAGAAAACCAACATGGGAGATTTTGGTTATGTGTAAACCATACCTCCCTGCTAAATCAGGGGAGCTCAGACCTAAGATCTTCAGTGACGATTCACTTCACAAATACTGAATGTCCACTACCGACAAATTCCTATACTTGGCATTATGGTTTGCCTGTTCAACTATATGGCTCTCTACCTAGATCTGTGTCACTGGGGCTCAGATTTCATCTGTCACTAAGAGCTAAACGTGCTATTCTCATTCTACATTAAAACAGCAGTGAAAACAACCTTCACAAGTTTACTACCATTCTCTTAATTAGAGGTTCTTATCAGAATGCCACCCATCATTTTGTTCATGAGATGAAACATTATACATCTTCCTAATGCAATTCTTCCTAATGCACTTCTGTGTGGGCAGAAAAAGAACACTGGATAGTTCTTCGATTGTGAATGCCGACCGACACTGCCACTATAACAAGCTAATTTTGAAATTATAACTTGAGAAACTTACAGGATGATACAGCATTAAAAAAAAAAAAAAAGCAAGATGGCTGACATTGAAGTCCTTCAGTCAGTATTTGGCTCTGACTGTGTTGAAGGCGTTGTTGCTAGAAGCATCTATGCTTTGGATGCGGACTTCTTGGAGTCATATCTAAGACTACGGATACAACCATTGATAGCTGCGACACACAACTTCCAGTCATATCCATTTTCTGATAGATCGCAAGTCGGGTAGGTGTCTCTAAGAAATTCTGGTGGTAAAATCCAAAAACGTTAGTTACTCAGAAATTACTTCTTAGAGAATGAACTTATTCAACCTCAGTTCTATTGCTGTACTATGAAAGGGTCATTAAAACTTTAATTAAAACACATGGACTATGACTATTATTAAATTAGCTGAACAAATATTTTCATCTAAAAGGATAATATGAAATAGCTCCATTCTTAAATCATAGTAAAATAACAATATCCCATGAACTTGCTACATAAGCAGAATGGAAATCCTCTCCTGCCTTCAATACCCAGTGTAAACTTTTCTCATTCTAAAATTTACCAAACATGCACATTATTCATTATATCAACGTATGCTAAGTCTTTGTAACACACAAGAGGCTGCAGTGTCTTTTTTACTTCAGAAAAAAAAATTTTAATTTTTTTAACATGTATTTGTCGTTGAGAGACAGAGACAGAGTGTGAGCAGGGGAGGGGGAGAGAGAAAGGGAGACACAGAATCCAAAGCAGGCTCCAGGCTCTGAGCTGTCAGCACAGAGCCTCATGCGGGGCTCAAACACACAAGCTATGAGATCATGACCTGAGCCAAAGTCAGATGCTTAACCAACTGAGCCACCCAGAAGCCCCTCTTTTATACTTTTAGAGGCAAGAAGCTGTAACTCCTAAATTTTTTGGTACTGCTTGGTTTATCTCAGACAAGAAAGAAATGAGAGTCTCTAGATCTTGCAGTTAAAAGGAAACCATCTATAAGGGAAGGTAACAAAGCAAGATAGCTCAAATTAGAAAAATTTAGGAGATTAGAGAAAGTAGGAGGACACACACAAAGGGAAAGGTAGAGAAAAGAGATGTTATTTAACTAGAAGACCAGAACTGTCCACAGATACTTTTTTAGGTAACTTCTTTTTAAAAAACTTATTTATGTATTTTGAGAGAGAAAGAACATGGGGGAGGGGCAGAGAGAGAGGGAGAGAGAGAGAATCCCAAACTAAGCATGCAGAGCCTGACGTGGGGCTCATATTTACAAACTGTGAGATCATGACCTCAGCCAAAACCAAGACTCGAACACTTTACCACCTGAGCCCCCCAAGCACCTCTGGTAATTTCTGAAGTAAATCTGAGGTCTTAGTAAAGGACCTGATGAACAATCCAGGCCAGCATTAGTTGGGTATATAAATCTCATTAATTTTTCAGTAAGATTAAGAAGCTGGGAATTCAGGACAATGTCATAAACACAGCATATATCCAAAATTTTTAGCAAGGCATGCGACAAAGTTAAAAAAAACTTTCATACTCAAAGGACTATGTAATACATCAGTCGTAGTCTGGGACATGGCTTTCAGTGGTATGTCACTGGGCTCAGAAACAGGTAGTGTTTTTTATGGTGCCAGACAATTTTATTCACAAAAATTAAGTTATGGAAAGCAGGCTTGTCCCATCTGCCCACAACAGCAAAGCTGGGATGGGTAACTAATAGACTGTAAGACAAATACACCATCTGCAAAGCTTTCAACAGGCTCTAACAAGGAGCCTAAAGTGGTTGGTGTTTCCCAAGAAATGTTCTCTGAAACACTAGTCATGAAAGAAATTTCCTGGGGAAAAAGTTTCCAGTTGTGCAAATGAGAGATGCTACACTCCAGAGTTCGTTCCCACTGAAAAATCCCACAGTGAGGAGACCTCCTCATTCAAAGGTGTCAGAAGCAGATGCGTTGGTAGGGCTTATACATGAGGAAAGTAGCAAGGCATGCAACAATAGAGGGTCAGGACTGTGGGAATCTGGGTGAGCTTCACAGCTAACAAAGTCACATAAAACCAGTATATGGACTAAGGCCCTTGAAGTGCCGAATCAAGATCTTCCTGAGGTGCCTGGGTGGCTCAGTAAGTTGAATGTCTGAGTTCAGGTCATGATCTCACAGTCCGTGGGTTCGAGCCCCACGTCGGGCTCTGTGCTGACAGCCAGCTCAGAGCCTGGATCCTGTTTCAGATTGTGTCTCCCTCTCTCTCTGACCCTCCCCTGCTCATGCTCTCTCTCTCAGAAATAAACATTAAAAAAATTTTTTTAATCAAATCAAGATCTTCCTTAGCCATCTGATGAAAAAGCACCTTATTCATGAAGCACCAATTAACATTCAGCTGTCTTTGAGAAGAATAGCTTGGGAGGGGCGCCTGGGTGGCTCAGTCGGTTGAGCCTCTGACTTTGGCTCAGGTCATGATCTCATGGTTTGTGGGTTTGAGCCCCGCATTGGGCTCTGTGCTGACAGCTAGCTCAGAGTCTGGAGCCTATTTCACATTCTGTGTCTCCCTCTCTCTCTGACCCTTCCCTGTTCACGCTGTCTCTATCTCTCTCTCAAAAATAAATAAAACATTAAAAAAAAAAAAAGAAACATAGTTTGGGGAATGCTGTTCTACACTAACAGGACAAAATGCAGGAGGAATAAATTATAAAATCCTACATTTAGCTTAAAAAATACTAACACTATAAACAGGAATAACGTAAACACTAACAAAATAAGTAAAGGATAAACATCAGTATATAGACGAAAGGATCTAGGAGTCTCCATTGACCATAAATTTTAAAATGGCTAGTGCCAGGGTACCTGGGTGGCTCAGTCAGTTGAGCTTCTGACTTCAGCTCAGGTCATGATCTCACTGTTTGTGAGTTCGAGTCCCACATCAGGCTCTGCGCTGACAACACAGGGCCTGCTTCAGATCCTCTGTCCCTATCACTCTTCCCCTCTGCTACTTGTGCACTCTTGTGCACTCTCTCTCTCTCTCTCTCTCTCACACACACACACACACACACACAATCGCTCTCTCTCAAAAATAAATAAACATTCTGTGGCACCTGTGTGGCTCAGTAGGTTAAGTGACTGACTTCAGCTCAGGTCATCATCTCACAGTTCCTGACTTTGAGCCCCACACTGGGCTTTTTGCTGTGAGCACAGAGCCTATTTTGGATCCTCTGTCCCCCCTTCTCTCTCTGCCCCTCGCCTGTTCTCTTTCTCCCTCTCTCTCTCAAGTAAATAAAAACTTTTTAAAAATAAATAAAATATTTTTTTTAAAAATGGCAAGTGCCATCTTAGTCTGCATTAGTACTGATGTTGGTCTTGGCAATGATTTTTTTAATGAGACACCAAAAGCAAAAATGAATAAGTGGGACAACATAAAACTAAAAAGCTTTTGCACAGCAAAGGAAACCATCAACAAATCGAAAAGACAAACTACTGAATCATAGAAATATTTGCAAATCATATATCTGTTAAGGGGCTAATATCCAAAATAGAAAAAAAAAAAAAAACCTCATACAACTCAACAGTAAAAAAAACACACAACCATCTGGTTTAAAATATGGGCAGATGATCTGAATAGATATTTTTCCAAAGAAGAAAGAAAGGTGGTCAACAGGTATTTCAAAAGTCGCTAAACATCATTAATCATCAGAGAAATGCAAATCCAAACCACAATGAGATATCACCTCACACCTATCAGAATGGCTATTTTCAAAAAGACAAGAGATAACAAGTGTTGGAAAGGATGGGGAGAAAAGGGAACCCTCGTGCACTGTTGGTAGGAATGTAAATTGGTACAGCCACCATATAAAACAATGTGGAGGTTCCTCAAAAAATTAAAAATAGAACTACCATACAATCCAGCAATTCCACCTCTAGGTATTTATCCACAGAAAACAAAAAATGCTAACTCAGAAAGATATAGGCGCACACCCCCAGGCACTGTAGCATTATTTACAATAGCCAAGATATAGAAACACCCTAAGTGTCTAAGTGTATGTCAATGGATGAATAAAGAAATTGCAGCATATACACATACATACATGCACACAGTGGAATATGATTCAGCCATAAAAATAATGTAATCTTAAAAAAATAATTAAGTATTGCCATTTGTGACAACATGGATGGATCTTAAAGACATTATACTAAGTGAAATGAGCCAGACAAAGACAAATACCATATGATTTCACTTATCTGTGGAATGTAAAAAACAAACAAACAAACAAACCAAATAAAGAGAACAGGAGGAACTTAATGGAGGACCATGGGGGAGAAGAAGGGGAAAAATAGTGGGGGAGAGGGAGGGAGGCAAACCATGAGAGACTCTTGAATGCCGAGAACAAACCGAGGGCTGATGGGGGTGGGGGGAGGGGAAGGGGGATGATGGGCAAGGAGGAGGGCACTTGTGGGGATGAGCACTGGGTGTTACATGGAAACCAACTTGACAATAAACTATTAAAAATAAATAAATAAATTTAAAGTTAAAAAAAGATAAAGAGAATAGACTCATGGTTGCCAGAGGCAGAGAGTAGGGAGAGGGAGAAGTGGGTGAAGGAGCTCAAAAGGCAAAAAGAAAAAAACTAATAAATAAAATGAATACATGTTATAACATGTATACACACAGAAAGGAAGGAAGGACAGAAGGAAGGAAAGGAGGAAGAGAGAAAGGAAAGGAGGAGGAGAAAGATTGACCTCTTCGCAGGAACAACTTTCAGAGACTACGTGTTTATCAAAAACATTAAATTTAAAAATTAAAATGGTAAGTGCTATCTTAGACTGCGTCAACAGCCTAATAAGTATAGTACTAGTATACTCTGGATTAACTTGAGCACATCTGAAGTTAGTCACTGAATCAGCTCATGAAAGATTAGGAAAATATTTCTATGAGGAATTACTGAAGGAAATGGGGGTATTTACCTATCAAAGTGTAAGATTTAGTGGGAAACAGCTGTGAATAACACTTATTTTCTCAAATCCTCATGCTTCCTTACAGAGGGATCTCCATATTGGAAAGTTTGGAAGAACTCGGTATGTATGATTCAAAAATAAAGTTGATATTTTTTTTAATTTTTTTTTTAATGTTTTATTTATTTCTAGGAGAGAGAGAGAGAGACAGCGTGAGCAGGGGAGGGTCAGAGAGAGAGGGAGTCAAAGACTGAAATAGGCTCCAGGCTCTGAGCTGGCAGTCAGCACAGAGCCCGACGTGGGGCCCGAACCCACGAACCGCGAGA